ACACGGATGTATTTTTATTCATCCGCACCCTTCCCAGGTTAGTCCAATCCGGCCTTGCGGTAGTACCGCAAGGGGGAGCGGTAGTACCGCGTTAGCGGCAGTACCGCCCTCAGCCTTTGCGGCTCAGGCCTGGACTAGCTCCTGCCGTAGCAGCGGTAGTACCGCAGTCCGCCGCGTAGTACCGTGAGCCCTTGCGGTAGTACCGCTTGTCTTGGGCGGTAGTATCGCAGGTCGCGGGCTGGTTAAGTGGATAACGGTTGGATTTGTCTCTCCACTATATAAGGGATGTCTTCTTTCTCTAGTTGACCACCTCTTCCACCCCCAAGCTCCATTATTGCTCCAAGCTCCATTTTCGCCCTATCTCTCTCCCTAGCCAATCAAACTTGTTGATTTGCTCAGGATTGGTTGAGAAGGCCCCGATCTACACTTCCACCAAGAGAAATTTGATTCCCCCCACTAATCCCTAGCGGATCTTGTTACTCTTGGGTGTTTGAGCACCCTAGACGGTTGAGGTCACCTCGGAGCCATAGTCCATTGTGGTGCAGCTTCGTGGTGTCGTTGGGAGCCTCTAATTAAGTTGTGGAGATTGCCCCAACCTTGTTTGTAAAGGTTCGGTCGCCGCCTTCAAGGGCACCAATAGTGGAATCACGGCATCTCGCATTGTGTGAGGGCGTGAGGAGAATACGGTAGCCCTAGTGGCTTCTTGGGGAGCATTGTGCCTCCACACCACTCCAACGGAGACGTACTTCCCTTCGAAAGGAAGGAACTTCAGTAACACATCCTCGTCTTCACCGGCTCCACTCTTGGTTATCTCATGCCTTTACTTTTGCAAGCTTATTTGTGTTATATCCCTTGCTTTCTTGTGTGCTTATTGTTGTTGCATCATATAGGTTGCCCACCTAGTTGCATATCTAGACAACCTACTTTGATGCAAAGTTTAATTTGGTAAAGAAAAGCTAAAAATTGTTAGTTGCCTATTCACCCCCCCCCCTCTAGTCAACTATATCGATCCTTTCACTCAAGTATATATTTGCAAAAGGAAGATCAATACATTGCCAATGCCATTGAACTTATTCATTTGACAAAGATTCAGGTGCAGTTACTGAGAGATGATGGTGGGTGGGAAAGCTTTTCTTGAAGAAGTCACTTCCTTTCGTGTCAAGCATAAAGTCAAAGTTCCCCATGGGAGGTTCGTATAAGCCGCCTGGAAGACTCTCAAGATTCTACCAAAAACTCACAAATCTCCATGGCTTCCATGTTGAGATCTTTTTGGGTCTTGTTGATAGGAAACTTCGGGAGCGTGGAGATAGATTCTACAAAAAAATCACAAATCTCCAGAGCTTGTTGATAGGAAACTTCGGAACCCTACAAGTGAGCCAAGCTACTACCTCACATAAATCTCGAAGGTTGACTACTTCTCGCCTTTTTCTTTTGAGTGTAGAATAAGGCAATCATTTCAATCAGATTTGGAGAGCGATTGTGGAGGGGCGCGATGTACCTAAGAAGGGTTTAGTACGTCGTATTGGCAATGGATCCTCAACTCAAATCTGGTCTAATAACTAACTAGATCCTAATGGATGTTATGATGCGGCCCTTCGGGTGCCGATCAGCTAACCCATCGGTTTTAGTTTTTGAACTCGTTGACCACCCATCAACCAGATGGGATCCTGAACGGCTCGCTGAAGTCTTCCTACATATTGACATCCCAGCCATTCTTACCATTCCTCTTTGCACAACGGGGTGATGGCTCGCGAATTTACGATGTTGTTCATAGTGATTTCCATTTGGTTTCATTGGATTTTTGTTATTCTTCGGATATTTCTAACGCTAATCCAACGAAAGAAAGAGAAATCTACTTTGTTCTTTGGATGGCAGGAAATATCACAGTTGGAAGGAAACCAAAGGTGATTGGTGCAAATCAAGTCAACTAGAGCAACTTTCCTGAAGAGAGCACTGTCAACGCGCGCACCAGAGTGAAAGACAGTGTTTCATACTACCGTATGCACTTGTTTGAGCGGTCGTTTGGAGTGCGCATGGACCCTCCTCATCTATACAAAGCAACTTTCATGAAGGAACCACGGGGGAAGAGAACCCTAGCCACCGCCACACCATCCAGAAGAGGGGAGGGGAAGATCATCGTAGTTTTTGGTCCTTTCATCTCCATCATCATCATCACCTCCTTCACCATTGTAAGAGGGATTGGAACTTGTAATTTCTACTCCATCTCATCTGAGATCAAGACTATTTGAGTACCATTTTCTCTCATTGTGGACCCCCTCAATATTTATCGATATGGTTTTCATGGTTTTTCTCTCTGTTGTGATTGATTCCCCTCTTATGATGTGTGAGTAATTCCCCTAGGTGTGGGAGATGTAGGTGCGTGGTATGATTGATATGTGCCTATCCTATATGTCGTCATTTAAATTCGTAGTAGTATGATCTATTTAGTATGTTGTTATACTGTGGTTAACTCTATGTGTCTTGTCCAATTTAAGGCCCACACAACATGATCTCAAGACCTACACAGGTAACACATATTGTTTAGGAACTCTGTGATCTATGATGTGATAGGTGGAGATATCTATGAGAACTGGACACAATATGAGATCACGGTTATCCATTGAACTTAATGCTTCGTTCCGGTCTTACGACCTTAATTATGGAAATGACCACTCTGTGGCAACGAAGAAGCATGACCATAGAATGAAATGTAAACCCTAGTGGAGGAGTTTCATGACCGCCTATAGAAAGTTTATATCAAATGCTATGAGTACAATACAAGGTAACTGGTATTGTCGTCGCACTCGCACAATTCATATATTCTTACCATGAACTGAAATCTCTCCGCACCTAATCTCTTCATTTCAGGAAACATCATTTACATTTTAAGCTCTTGTTATTTACTTTATTTAGTTATTTAATTAGTAAACATCATTAAGTCCTCTCTTTACTAGCATTTTTAGTTTATCATTTACCCGGGACAGTAATAGTATTTTCAGAAGCTCAAACAGTACTTCACACAAGAGTTGTGACACCTTGTGTGTGACAGAAACGCCTCCATAAATACTCTCCTTCGCTCTTTGTTGGGACCATTGCTCATTGGGATACTTTTGCGAAAGTGTTGTGCTACCCTGTTTGGTCTGCAGGTACCAGGGGGTTGAAGATAACTGGGCGTGGAACTTTGAAAAAAGCAGCTGCTTCACGGTCAAGTCGGCGTACAAGATGATGATTGCAAAGAAATTGAGACGCAAAGCTTGGTTAGATGGTTCCTCTGGATCTTCAAGCATCGATGGATATTAAGCATCATAGAAACTGTTATGAAAACACTAGTTCTAGATAAAACACACATGTTCCTGTGGAGATTAGCAAAGCATTCGAAACCAACCGAGGACATTGGGGCGCACAAAAAAATATCAACGACCAGTGTATGCGCCTTGTGCGGAGCTGCGGATTCCTGGAGACATGTGTTGCTTAAATGCACAATGGCAAGGTGCATATGGGCTCTTGTGGACAGTGAACTGTCAGAGTACCTTTGCAAAAGTATGGAACCAAGCGCTTCTCAATGATGGACACACTATCACATGAGGAATTTTTCAAGCTATCGGTTACGTTGTGGGCAATATGGTGGGCAAGGAGAACAATGATACATGAGGAGGTCTATCCGAGTCCTACAACTACTCATGAATTCGTAAATAGGTTCATATCAGAGCTCGATATAACTGCACGGAAAGCTATCAAAGCACCAAGTAAAGCAAGGGCGACAATAGCAAGACCAAGGGCACCGCCGCAGGGTTTTACAAAAATACATGTTAATGCTAGCATAGCAAGGATCGGCCGCAATCGTTTTTCGTGATGCTGCATGTTTATATCTCGATAACTCCTCCCTAGTTGTTCAAGGGGGGCACTGATGTTGTCACGCTTAGAAGCAATGGCATGCCAGGAAGCATTGTCTCTAGCTAAGGATGTGCTGCTCCAAAACTTCATAATTAAATCGGACTAAAAACAAGTTGTGAGAGATAACCAGTAGTTATGGTTGCATCATTTGTGAGATCAACCAGAGGGCAAGGTTGTCCAACTGTAACTTCATTTACGAAGGACCTTTATCAAATATTGATGTAGATTAGTTAGCTAAGTTTTCAAGTTCTTTTGATCAGGGACGGCATCTGCGGTTGATCGATCTGCATGATCCAATCTGTATCCCACTTCATATGGAATATGATACATTAAATTTAGCTTTACCCTAAAACAATATTGTCTCGCATAAAGTGACATAGCCGCGCTCGGTTTTGCTTCGTTTCAATTTCACATTATCAAGATAGGGGGAGGGCAAGAAACTAGTAATGTAGCCATTGTAAGCCCAATCACAGAGCTTTATGGCCGAATTAGGCGAGCCCAAGAGCTTTCTCGACCCTTCACCATATGCGGGATCCCCGCGTGTCCGGCAAACCTGGCCAACTAGGCTCTGCCTAGCAGGCCGGCTTGTTAGCACGTGTGCCCGCTCCGTGACGAGATGGCACGGCACGTGGTTAATTGGGTCATACCCGGCAAATGACGCAGCCTAGGGCCGTGCCCGTATCTGGAGGCTGGGCACGTGTGACAGCATGACATGACTCATTTTTTTATTATAAGACAATAGACTGAATCATGTGTGGGTTGACGGCTAAATGTGCCGATGGGCCGTCCCGTTTAATTATAGTGTCGTGCCTGGGCCAGGGAAGCCAGCACGCGTCCCGGCCCGGCACGGCCCGGGTAGTTAGCGTGCCTGGCCGGGCTGGGCCGGGCCGGGCACGTATAACCCAGGCCGGGCCGGGCGGTGCAGGTCCGGCCCAAATGGCCAGGTTTGTGTCCGGGCGACGAAACCGAAGCTCGGCTTTGGAAATCTGGGGAAGGCGACGAGCAATCCGAGGAGCTCCGCCCCTCTTCTTCTCCCCCACCCCCACTGGCGACGGCGACGGAGGCGAGGGTGAAAATTCCCCACCAACCGGAGCGCGTGCTTGCTGATGGAGGTCTCGGCCAGGCTCCGCCCGCCGCCCGCCGCCTCGACGGCGCCGCCCCGCCGCGGCGGAGGGCCCCTGCGACTGCGACGGCTGCTCCCTTCGTCTCGGCCCGCCTCCCGCGCGGTCTCCGCCAAGGTGCCCATACCCTCGGTGCTTTTCTCCTCCCCTATCTTGTGGGTTGCGGGGGACGTTGCGCGTGTAGGTGTAGGCCCGAAGCTCCCCTCCCGGTTGCTGCTTCTGGAGGCAGCTGCTTGTGGAGGTGGATGGAATTCTGACGATTTTTGGTGCATTCTGTTGAGCTTCCGCTCCCTGATTTTTCACTGATTTCTTAGTGGAATGGAAGTTGAAGAAGGTAGGGCTTGTTTGCTCCATAGATTTAGCACTTAGCTAGTAGTATACTCTACGGAAGGGTATTCTGAATTTGTGGCCTGTTATAATGAGACCGAGTTACAGAAATGAGCGCGACTGCACGAGTAAACTTTTACAGTGACCATGGTCGAATTCGAATAGGCTAGGAGTTAGTGCATTCCATCATATGCCCTGCACTTTCCGAAATGGTTAAAATGCCAAGAAAACATTGCTGCCTTACGTGCCGGCCCTGGTTGCCAGGAAAAATTGGTGCCTATGCAGTATGCACCCCTACGAAATGATCTTTGTATGTGTGTTGACAGGATAGAACCAGAATCAATCAAAGCTGTTTTGATACCAAGTTATGAGTGCGAATTATTTGTACTGAGCTTATTCAAATAGCTATATTTGCTTGTCGATTGGTCAAGTGTTGTCTAATCGATTGACAACAACCGTGAAGCATTCATCTGTTCCCTTTAACGATAGAATCTTATGCACATATACAGTCCTATGAAATATCAGAGCTATTCTGGTAAGGGTGATAAGTAGGTTGTAGCATCGAAAACAGGACAATGTGGGTGAGTTAACAGCACAGACAGATCTGGAATTATCCAGGTGGAAATGGATTCACGTCTGCTTTTGGGTGTGAGGCAAAAACTAGAATGCCTTGTGAGCATGGCCCATTTCCACCTAGCCAATTTCCTGTTTACAGAAGTTTCTCTTCTGGACAAACAAGTTTATCCAGCATGTAAGTTCCATATATACGATGCAACCTTCTCAGGATCTAATCTATTATCTGCAGTTTTGGAAGTCAATGTGTTGTTATTATGCCAGGCTAATCTGGACACATTTTGTCGTCATGTACGGTAGCGAATACTGCTTAACTTCTTGTCTTCACCCTACCTAGAACTTGTTACCTATAATAGTGCACACTGAAAACATTGGGAGAGCAACAACAGCAGCATCCTTTTGGGTGTGAAACAAAGCTATAATGCCTTGTGCGCATGGCCCATTTCCACCTAGTTGATCTCCTATTCTCAGAAGTTCCTCTTATAGAAAAGTGTGTCCGGCATGTAAGTACTATTCAGTGGTAACCACTAACCAACATTAATTGTTGGTGCGGAAGTATATATATAGGATGCAACCTTGTCCTGAAAGGATCTAATCTATTATGTGTGGTTTTGGAAGCCAAGCTGTTTTTGTTATGTCAAGCTAATCTGGACCTGTTTCTGTTGTCTTCTACGGTAGCGAATAATGCTTAACTTCTTGTCTTCACCCTAGCTAGACCTTGTTACCTATAATACTCCACACTGAAAACACTGGGAGAGCAACGACAGCAGCATCCTTTTCTAGATAATTCTACCCAGTTCTGTTGGTTTAATATTCATTGAGTGTCCTCCATTCCAGTATCAGTCTACTAACAATCTACTTACTGGAGCCAGGAAGTTGGATTAATTGCTCTCAGTCTCTTACTTCCATATGGGGTTTGATTTTCCTCTTACTTCACTCGTCTCGGTTCTTTTGCGTGATGTGGCCTGACTAGCCAAGTGTGTTGATTTTCCTCATACTTCATTCGTCTCTGTTCTGTTGCATGATGTGGCCTGACTAGCTAGTGTGTTGTTTTTCCTCTTACTTTGTCTCTGTTCTGTTGTGTGATGCGGTCTGACTAGCTAAGTGACATTCATTTGATAGTAGAAGTTCAAGTTAAGAGATTTACAAATTTTCTAGCCAATGCAGATCAGAGCAAGTGCAATTAATGACCTGCAAAGAAGCAAGAGTAGCCTGGAAGCACTGTTCTGCTACGACAAAGCTGTTCCAGAGGAGAATATCGGGAAACCTGCTGGCCTAGATTTGGAAAAGAAGAATGTTGGGAAGAATCCTCCATGCGTGCGCTGCGAAACTAAAGGTGCTGTGCTGTGCGCAACCTGCGCTGGTTCAGGCTTGTACGTCGACTCGATAATGGAAAGCCAAGGAATCATCGTAAAAGTCAGATGCCTAGGTAAGCAAGTTTGACAGCCATCTCTGATTCCTGCAGTGAACCGTGTGCATTTTATACGCCGCCATATGGATGATACATGGTTTGTTGTGTGATTGCTGTAGGCTGCGGAGGAACTGGAAGCATCATGTGCTCCACATGCGGAGGCCGTGGACACACCTGAATTGTCTGTTGATGTTTCTCACAAACAAGGCAATGAAATTCAAGTAGCATCCTCTTGGTGTACGTCCATCATCGCCGGGAACTATCATTTTTGCAGTAATCTGTATACATTTTACTGACGATTCATAGTTGAACGATGTTCAGAGCATGCTGCGAACAATTTCACTGTACTAAAGGATTCGATGCTGAGTCGGGTGTTGTACCTTGAGTCTACTTAGTTCAGAGCGTGTGACATCGTTTTGCTTTTGTATCAAAAATTGTTTCAGTTGTGACACTTTACTGATCCCAACTGTTTGACATGCGTGCTCATCGATGCATATGCTGTCTTTCTTTTGCTGAATCAGATGAAGCGCTTTATGCTACAGTGAAACAAGAGCAGCAGGCACACATAGCCTACTTGCTAAGATGTACTAGCATTAAGCATAAACTTTGTGCAGATATCGGTACATCACATTGCCTAGAATGAACGGAACGGTCGCAAACCGACGAAGTCGACAAGTTAGAACCAGACCCAAGAGCCTCGACAAATTAAAATCTCAAGAACCCCAAAGATCACCTGAAGAACAGAGAAATCACTCATACGACATTTGAAAAATCTGCGAATTCGCCGGTTCAAAGATAGGCGTGTCAAAATTTGAAAAGTCGAATAGCAGATCGAATCGCGCTTGGTCCTAAATAATACCTACCCTGTTACACACTCATCATCAATCAAGCAAGAAACAAAAAGAGAGAAACCCACACCCAATATGCTTCTCTTGAGGCATGGACCAGCCCCTCCTGCAAACCCACATGGACATGGATTTTCTCCATACCCCGGCCGAAAACCAAGCAAGGAATAATACTTCACTTTGCTGGGGGTTTGCGTCGCCGTCGCGGACGCCGACGCCGACGCCGGGAGAAACACCAATCGATGGAGAAAAACATCACTTGTCCGCCAAGCCAAGCCATGTCCGATCCTTCTTCCTTCCAAGAATCTATTCTTCTCCTCCTCCTCCTCCTCCTCTCATGGCTCCTGACTATATATACATCTCCACGGCAAAAGGCGACCGGCATCACTCACCACCACCATCACCATCGATCATCACCGCAAGCATTCGTTCATCGGGTTTGTTGTTTGGGAGATCGAGAAGGAGGTGCCGGCAGCCATGGACAGGGCCATCAACCGCACCTACGAGGAGTACACCCCCGCCGTCGAGTGGAGCCACTCCGCCGACGCCAGCTTCGTCAAGATCATCGTCCCAGGCAAGCAAACCATCCATGCGGCTCACACCATATGGTTACTGATGAGCCAACAATGGCGGGGGTGTGTGATGGGTGTGGCCTGACTCTTGAGGGTTCTTGGCTGCAGGGTTTAAGAGGGAGGAGATCAGGGTGCTGGTGGACAACCACGGCCACCTGCGGACGCGCGGCGAGCGGCCGGTGGAGGGCGGCAGGTGGAGCCGCTTCCAGAAGGACCTGCAGCTCCCCTCCGACTGCAACGTCGACGGCATCCGCGCCAAGTTCGAGAACGAGGCGCTCACCATCACGCTCCCCAAGAAGCACCCTTCGCCCCCGCAGCAGCAGGCCGCGCCCGTGCCCATGCCGGCTCTGCCGGTGCCGGCGCCCAAGCCCGTGCCCGAGCCCAGGAGGCCCTACGCGGCGCCGTCCCAGAAGCCGCCGCCGGCGCTCCCGGAGCCCGCGAGGCCGGCCGCCACGGCGCCGCCCCCCGTCGTCCCTTCCCAGAAGCCCTTCGCCGACCGCAGGCCGTCGCTGCCCCGCAAGCCGGCGGACATTCCCGCGCCGGCAAGGCCCGCGCCTCCCGTGCCCGCGCCGGCGCCGGAGTTGGAGACCCTGAACAAGCACAATGGAGCCGCTGCCACCGCGAAGCCCGGGCTGCCCGCCTTCCCGAAGCCGACGGGGGAGTGGGTGAGGGAGGAGGCCAAGAAGCCGCAAGAGGAGGCCATGGCGAGGAAACAGCAAGACGCGGCCGAGGAGGAGGAGAAGAAGCGGATGGAGAGGGAGGCGAGAGGGAAGATGGAGGAGGACAGGAAGACGGCGGAGGCGGACAAGGAGACGGAGGGGATGATGGACATGGCGCGGCGGAGGAGGCCCGCGCCCGCCAACCGCGGGCTGCTGGTGAACGTGGCCGTGGCGGCGCTGGTGCTCGTCGGCATCACGGTGTACGTGTGGCGCAACCTGAGCGCCGCTGCCTCCGGCGGGGGCGGGGATGCCGGCGCCGGGAGCTACGGCGACGAGATGTGATCGATCGATCGAACAGTTGGCGCGAAGTATATATTCGAGGCGTGGGAACGAGTGAGAGTTCATACGTGTAAAATGCAAGTATATATATGTATGTATTGTGGCTTGTTACAGATTACAGAGCCATGGTGGGTTGATCAAACTTGATGAAATAAAATGTGATGCACAAGCCTTTAACTTTCTATATATGTTCTTGAACGCGTCGAGGTTAATTTGTTCTACAAGCATGTATGTGTATGACTTGGTTACTCCTTGCGCATGCAGACTGCAAATTTAAACTTTGACAATGACAAATATGCATGGTATAAAAGTATATTGAAGGATGATTCTAATGGTATTGATTCGGTATTGTGAGTGTCAATAACTTTTTTGCATAAACTTGACAAAAGCTTATAAAGTTTGGCTCGATACAAAGCAAATATGCAAAGTAAATAAAATGGAGGGAGTAGATACACGTTAGACTTAACGTTGAAAAGGCTTGTGTAGGTTTGCATCTGTGGAGCAAAAACTAGCAACGAGTAGTTAAGAAAAAAGTGACTTGCATGAAAAAGATATCCAGGCGACTAACAAATAGGCAATCCCATTATTTTCGCAAACTTTTGATGATGATCGTAATTCCTGTCACACTACTGTAAAAAGGGTGGAATTCACATCGACCATGAAACCTACATGTGCAGGAAGGGGGTCAAGGTCTCGTCGTTGCTCTCGTTGAGTCCATGCTTGATTGTGGTGAGTGATGGTTCAATTCGACAGATTTGGGAGAGAAGTTGGAGGAGCAAGGCCAGCATTTCAGCTCTTTGGGACAGAGGTTCCTCCATCCTTTCTTATGTTCATGTGCTTTCCTCCATCATTTTATACGTGTTGCTTCTTTCTTCTCCATAACTAACAATGGCAAGCTCATTTGGGGTTCGGGTCGAGTATGCTAAGATGAGACATGAGAGGCTTGGACATGACCCATGACCATGCCGGTGAGTAAGGACACCTAGTAGAAGGAGGGTACTTCACCCCGACCAT